CACACGGAGGGCAGCGGGGAGCTGGCGGCCAACCCTGTTACACCACCTGGGCTACGGTTGCTTAGCAGGTAGGCTGGTTCCTCAAGGCCCATTTCCCCAGTCAGGCCTTCAGCACAGTGGGCCATGGTGGGCAGTGGTGCAGTTGTGATGTGACAGAGCCATGAGCAATTCAGGGTAACCTCACCCAAGCTCAGAGGTGTGGGTGTTGTTGGGGAGGGTGGTAATGTTCTCCTGCAACATGAGCTGTAGAAAGTGAGATGCAAAGACCAGTCCAGGACAGTCCCATGGTGTGCTGGGAGTGACCTACCATGCCAGGTGCCTCCCAGACACCCTGACCCTGAGCCTCTGCAGAACTAAAATCACAGTGTGTGTGTGTGTGTGTGTGTGTAGTTCTTCCCTCATCAAAGATGGTTCAGTGTAGCAACTTCCTGCTGGGAGTGACCTACCATGCCAGGTGCCTCCCAGACACCCTGACCCTGAGCCTCTGCAGAACTAAAATCACAGTGTGTGTGTGTGTGTGTGTGTGTAGTTCTTCCCTCATCAAAGATGGTTCAGTGTAGAGCAACTTCCCTAATGAAAAATGGATCAGTGTAGTTATTTCCCTGATCAAAGATGGCCAAGTATAGAGTCACTTCCCTTATCAAAGATGGCAGCATAGACTCATAGCTTACAAAGTCACTTCTGACCATCTGCATCTACTGTGCCTCTTGCCAAACTGGTGTGCTTGCATGTTGACAGGCCCAGGCCACCTTTCTGTGCCCCTTGATCTGCTATGATCCCGGGGCCAGCATGGATTGCCTCCTTCCAGATCTCCCACCCCACTGAATTCTTCCCTGCATTTGCATTCACCTGGACCATCCAGATTCAGGCTTGCTCAGGTCCATGGCATCCCTGGGTCCCAGCTTCTCTGCTGGAACTTGAACCCTGTGGTCCTGCCCAGTCCCTGTATAGCGTAGGTTCTCTATAGACACTTGTCCTGGGGACGAGGTGTGTGGGTCTTTCACTCAGGGGAATTGCTGGGCCCTTGTACTCCCTGTCCCTCCCTCTCTCCAATTCTGGAAGGATGCACTGGCCCTCTAGCATGGGTTTGGAAAGCTGGATGGTGGCCACCTGCCCTTGGCTTTGCCCTGGTTGGGGCCCCTTGCTGTAGGAGCCCCACCTTGCTGTCATTTCATTCATGGTTTTGGAGGAGTGGACCCATGGTTGTGACACTGTATCCAGCATGAACCCTGCTCCCAAGGTGGGGCCACTGGGTGGACGCCCCCTCTGTGCCTGCCATGGTCTCCACGGGAAGATGCCTTTGTCTGCAGAAGAAGGCCACGCACACCATGGAGTCCCCGGCAGGTGCCTGCGCTCCAGGAACACGTGTACTGTGGCGTATCATGTAGTGCTACGCTGTGGGGAATAGTCATGAATAGCAAGGCACACAATGGTGTGCATTGTTGATGTTTGTTAAAATAAAGATATTCAATTTATAATAAAGGGATTAGATGCCTAATTCATGACTATGTTAATATTTGTCTGCAAGTACACAGATAAATGCTAACGCACCTTATCACGCCCAACACCTGTGCGTACAAGTTCGTCTGCCCAGATCTCTGTGGGATTGTGCATTTCACAGAGCTTAAACTTTCATTTCCCAAAATAATGATATCATTCATTTACAGATATAGATAGGCGCCGTACTCCAGCTCCTGAATCCAACATTGCGGCTCGAGCTGCGAAATGTAGGATTAATTATGGCAGCATTCTGTAGCCCACGTGGCAGCAGCAGCGAGTGGCCAGAGCAAGGGCCGAGGGGCCATGCAGCTTCCCTTCCTGAGCCCTCTGAGGTGCGGTGGGCCAGTCAGGCCGGGTGGCTGCTCTGCGTCTTGCTGTACTTGTAAGTCCAACCCAATTTTTAAGTGTCCCAGGGAACTTGCTGTTTGAAAGAGGTCTGTGGTGAATCCTTCAGGTGCAGGGCCCTGTGGGACTCCGAGGTGGCTAGGCTGGGTTCCCTCAGAGGGCAGGGCTGCAATCCAGCCCAAAGCCCTGAGTTTTGCAGGATGGAGGGAGAGGAAAGAAATGTTTTCGACAGAAGCCACTAACCCCGAGGGAGAGGGGCCCTAGCACATTCGCAGTGCAACCTGCCATAGTCTCTGCCATGCTGATGGCACCTCCCATGTATTCTCCTTCACAGACTTGCCAGGCATCTACTTGTAGGAGATTCAAGGAGATAAGTGGGGGTTTTGGCACAGGGATAAATTCATCATGTTGGGAGGACCAAGCGTCCTGTTATAAGTTTCAGTTTGCAGGTCAGGAAGCGTAACCGAAGGTGGACTGAGGAGACCCCAACCCCCAGGAATGGTGATACCGCCCTGTGGTGGGTGGGTGTGGGGACCGGTGGATGGGCCGGCTGGATCTGGGAGCCCAGCCCTGCAGCCCACAGCGCTGGGCACAGACAGCTGGCGGCTGACTCTGTGGCCAGGGAGCCTGGGCCTCATCATTCTGGAGGTGTGGAGCCTAGCGCGGTGCCATGGGCCAGGCTAGAGAGGGGCCAGTGTGTGGGTGTTCTGGTGGTTTGACTCTGGCTGCCCCTTCCTGCCTGGGCGCTGCCACAATGATGCTGCATCTCCAGGCAGGTCCCTAGGTTCCTAGGGTGTTGGCCAGGCCTCTCATCTGGGTCGGTCCAGTCTGTGGCGCTGCCTCTGATCCCTGTGTGGTCCAGCTGCCTTTGGCATCGTCCAATTGCAAAGTGACCACAACGTTCCAGGTTATGTTTCTGGCCCTGGTTGCACAGCTGTGTCTCAAGAGTTCTAGAAGCTGCTTGGCTGGTGGCTACTGTAGGACACGCAGGTGGCCAGGTGGTTCCAGGGCTCACATTTGAGGCCCAGGCTCCTTGATCCTAACTAATGACCCTGTCATGGAATAGGGTCAGTGGCACCAAAGTCTTAGCTCCTCATCTGTTTTTCCTTCTTGACTTTACAGATAGGAAAAGGTGTATTTTTTTCTATTTTAGGTTGAAGAATGTAAAATTGGATTTTTATTTTAAAAGAGTGTATGTTGACTCTCTAGGTAGAAAAAGGTAGAGCAGCTGGGCAGGAAGCTGTGCACCTGTAATCCCAGCACAAGAGGCAGGAGGATCCTTAGTTCAGGACCATTTTGGACCACTTAGAGACTTAGCAAGACCCTGTCTCAAAACAAAAATTGAAAGGGCAGGGGGGGGGGTGTAGTTCATCGCGAGGCTCCTGGGTTCAGTCCCCAGTGGTGCCAAACAAGCAGTGGAAGAGAGCTTTGAACTATCATGGGGAAGAACAGTTAGGAAGTTGAACAGGATAGGGTCACTATGGACAAACTTAGAATGCAGACAGGAAGGAGCCTGTGTGAGCATCCAAGGTCCCTGGCAACCACTGTTTCTGACTGGGGCTTGGTTTAGTGGAGCCTCAGTTTCTGCACTCTGCCATACTGGCCCCTGGCCCCATCTCCTTGCTGCGTCTCTGCTGTACTGGGTGAGAGGGGACTCTTCCTGGCTGGACCTTCTGGAAGAGCCGACGCTTCAGCCTTTGCTTTGCTGGTTTGCATTGCTGCCTGTTTAGCAATGAACCCGAGCAGTGGCAGAGCAGTCAGCGCTATTTGATCACCACGTAATCTCTGGCATGGAGCACACCCAAGTGTGTATGACACGTCTCTGACTGTAAACTACTGAAGGCCATCTTGCCTCTGGCCTTCTGCAAAGTGGAAGTGGTGTCCCCTCAGTTATAAATGTGGGTGATGTGGTCCTGACCAGCTGGTAGCAGGCAGGGACAGGAGGGTGGGGGCAGGGGACACTCTGGGAGTGCTGTGGGGCCGCTCCTCCGTCTGGAGGACAGGGCAGAGATAAGGGGTGCACAGAAGACGGTCCTCCCCCTCTGCTTGAACAGAATGACTTCTTTCCCTTTAAACACAGGGACTTTTGTTATGCTAATCAGTCAGGGACCATTTCCAATTCCATTTTACCTGGGCCTGGTCAGCTGTGGTCCCCTGGGACCGCCTTGTCTTTTAACTGTAATTTAGTCGGAGCTCTGTCAATTTCCCCTGCTCATTACGTCTGCGCCGATATCACAGATATTGAATCTTGTCCTTGTCCTGGACCCAGAAGGGCCGCAGCTCCCCAGTCTGAGCCATGGCCGTGGCTGGGCACTGGCTGCCTCGCCGGCCTGGCCCACTGCTTCTTAGACTGGCCTCCAGTGGAGGCTGGAGCAGAGCCTTATGGTGGTTGGGGAGGTTTCAGTGAGGTGGGGAGCTGCCAGCCACACCTCAGGAGGAGTCCTGATCCATCCTGAGACCCCTCAAGGGCTTGGCTGCTGCATGTACAGAGTGATGTTATCAGTGTCACCAGTGGACGCCACAGGCAGAGCCACTCAATCTCCTCTCACTGGTCCTGGGCAGCAGCACCCAGAGGACCTGGGGCTTCTGAGCCCTTGCTTGGTGGAGCAAGGGACACCGTCCCCCTCCCCAAGGGTGAGCGGCCATGTGGGGTCCGGGACAGCAGAACAGTTGGCAGCCCCAGGAGTGTGGGCCTTGTGTGGGAGGAAGTGGGGCCTCAGGGCTGTGGGCCAGGGTGTCGGCCGCTGTGGGCTCCAAATAAGCATTTGTCCTCCTCCAGGAGTGTGTGAGAGTGATGCTCACAGGGACACAGGAGACAGGGAGACAGAGCTGAGGAACAGAGATGTACGGGGACAGGGCAGGGGCATAGCAGGCATCAGTGCACAAACACCCAGGTGTGCCTTGCCCTGTGTGATCCCCCCAACCACCCTCACGGTCAGCTGAGGCCTGGACAAGGCCAGAGCCTCACAGCCAGTGGCATAGAGGACAGCAGACCTGAGAGCTGTGGAGGGGACAGTGTGCCCATCACCCAGGTAGGGGTCCTCAAATATGCTCAGAAGCTACGGGAGCCCAGCCTCATTCTCCACAGAAAGCATTGTGATGTCACTGACATGTTGGACGGAGGACCCTGGGCTACTCTACAGGCCACTGAGTGTCAGCTGCTCATTTGTTGAGGACCGACAGTGATGGGTGTTCAGGTCACTTCTCTGAGCTGTGTGGTTTCATGGGCACAGGTTGGCTGGCATAGACACTACCTAGGTTCTTAAGAAAATATGCTGAGGCTTGGTCAGTGTCATGCTGTGTGCGCTGCCCCCACCGAGGGGGACAGTGCAGGATTGGGGTGATCTGTCACTGTTGGTCCCAGGCAGGAGGGTTGCATTTTGTGTCACCTGGATGGGTAGGGCTGTTGCTCCGTGGACTGCTGCCGGCTTCTCTGTCCCAGGGCTATCCTTTGGTTCCTCGCCAGCAGCTGGGGTGGCTGTGAGTCCCTGTCCAAGTGCCAGGGAGGCCAGAAGGTGCACGTGGTCTCCTGTCTGTTCCCTGGCTCCAGCCTCCTGAAGCATGTCCTGCTCAGGGCCCCCATAATGCAGCCCTCGGTGTCTGGGCCCTGAGCAGGTTCCCTGAGCCATTGAGAGGTCTCCCTGCCTGTGTCAGGATGGTGAGGTCCTTCTAAGGAAGGTGCTGTGGGCACAGGCAGGATGGGTGGAGAGCCCAGGGCTTGGGGAGGCACGGGCACTGCCATGTCCTGGGGCAGTCAGAAACAGAGCCGTACACGGGGCAGGTGATGTTGGGGGATAAAAAGGCAAACAAAGGAACCTCAGCAGCTGGTGGAGGAGATCAGCCTAGGCTGCAGGAGGGAGGGAGGGAGGTAGGCTACTGCCAATTCTCAAGCTAAGGATGAGTACGAAATTCTACTTTTGGTAAAATCGCTGAAGAGATGGCAGTGTGTGGTGAGGATTGGACAGGAAGTGGCCGAGGCCAGGAAGTCTATCCTGGAAGCAGTCGCAGAAGAGCAAGGGGCTTGTGAAGGGCTGGAGGGAGGGAGGGAGAACTGAAGAGACCCCGACCGCGCTGCAGTTTGTGTTTCCTTGGTCTCAGCAGAGCGTTGCTCTGGACTTTGCATCCTTCGGTCACCAGAGAGCAGAGCCCAGGGGCAGGAAGGGCAGAGACACCAGCAGAAGACAGCTTCTGGCGGGGAGCACAGCCTACCGACCCAGCGGAGAGGTTCGCAGGCACCCTGAGCCGGGTGTCTGGTTTGGGAAGGTGGTGACAGTGCCCACGGCCGGCGGACAGTCAGGATCTTTATTCCCACCTTCTCTGTTCCTTTCCTCCACAGGGACCAGAGTGCAGAGCCCACAGAGGGGAGAGGTAGATGAGCAAGTCAGATGGGACCCGTGGTGCACACCTGTGTGCCTTCCATCAGAGAGTGGCAAGGCCAGGATGTGGGGTGCTGTGGCCCTTGCCCTGCTGGCAGACCCTGGGCACAGCACACAGTCACAGAGTGTCAGCAGCAGTACACGACTTTGGGACAGCAGGCTGGGTACCGGGGCCAAGCTGCTTTCCTCTACTCTGGAGCTTTCCCATCTTTCCTGTGCTAAACCAGGACTCTGTTGGGAAGGGATCACAGAGCCTTGCGTCTCTGTGGCCGTGTCTACTCAGGCTCTGGGTTGAACGTGGTTTCGATTCACTTCCATGAGTTTGCGCTTTGAATGTCATGTTTATGATGGTGAGGTCATCTGAGAACTGGCAGCCAGGGAGATTGAATCATGTGTAAGGAAGATGGAAACCAGTACGGGCTCGGATTCCAGCTGTGCTGTGTCTTAGGGCAAAGGCCTCCTGCTCCAGGGTCTGGGGACATCAACTGGGGCTGGTAGCCGGGTCCTGCTCCGGTGGCCTCCCTGGGACCTTGTATAAGCTTGCTGTCACTTGGTCGTATCCTTTCCTGACTCTCTCTACCCATGACAAGTGCTCATGGGGTCCCTGGGGGCCCTTGGACACCAGAGCTCCACAGGGCCACATCTGGGAGCACAGCATGTCCGTCTCTGGGTGGAAGGTGCATCCTGGGCTTGCGGGGCATTGCAGGGGTAAGTTTGCTCTTCTTTTAGTTCAGCGACATAAACACAGACTGTCCTTCCCTGATTGTTTCCCCTCTCATCCCAAAACTCCTGTGGAAGCTGTGCTGCTCTGGGCTGCTGTGATCATCTGGAAAGTATGACATCAGAGTCGCCTGTCCCGGGAACATGCAGCCTCAGAGGTGGTGCCCACACGCTTCCCAGACTCCGCTCCCCTCCTCCAGTCTGTCCAGGCTGCTGCACCCGACTCCTGTAGCCTTCTCCCCAATGGGGTCTGCTTCCTTAAGCGTGTCCACTGCCAAAAAGAGGCCAGACCCAGCCTTCCTGGGCCGGCCGGATTCTGCTGCTGCTGGCCTTGCTTCCTTCTGCACAGAGGGACACTGAGGAAATGTCCCCACGGACTGGGCCAGCACTCCTGGGGTCCGCTCGGAGGTGGCTGCTCGATTTGCTGCATCGTTTTGCTTTGGAAAGCTGTCCCGGGGGACCCCTCTTCCAGGGGTGCCCTCAGTCCCGAGGCATCTCCCTGTGGCATTTGCCTTCCCCACCTCCTCGGATGCTGGTGAGGTATCACTGGCCCAGTGCGTGGCCTGTGCGGAGCCTGCTGGTCACGATCATCACTCTTAGCCTGGAGCAGCAGTGTAGTCTTCACCACGACTCTGCACTCAGGGTTCCTCCCTTGGGGGGTTGCTGATTTAAACACCAGCACTGCAGGGCTTACAAAGGAAAAGAGGAAATATGGGGAATCAGGGAGCTTCCAAAAACCTTAGCCTCCGCAAAGCCCCTCAGACTGTCTCCTGCATCCCAGAAGTGAGCACCCTGCAGACAGAGGAGCTGTACACTGCAACTTGGCAAAGGCGAGTGGCACTCTCGGTCCACAAGACCATGAGAGGCTGGAGGCCTCTGTCAGTCAACAGGGCAGAGCTGCTGCGGGTGCTTGGATGGGTTCACCCCAGATGGTGCAGGAGACAGCGCTGAGCTCATACAGTCAGTGTTCTTAGCTGGGCCTCGTCTGCCAGGCCAGGCTGGATGTGGGGCCGCTCTGGCTTCTCTCCATAGTCTCTGGCTGCTGGGTCGGCATTGGGGTTAGAGGTTAGGGTTAGGGTAAGGGGTGAGGATTAGGGTAAGAGGCCATCCCTGGCATTGTCCCTCCTCATCTATGATTCCTGCCACCTGGAGGTGCCCCTGAGGTCCTCATCATTTCTGTGTTTTTTTGGGGGGGTTACCTGGGATCAAACTCAGGACCTTGCACTTGTGAGGCAGGGGAGGTGCCCCTGAGCTAAACCCTGGCCCCATCATTTCAGGTTTTTGTCCCACATTTCTAAACATCAATGCTCATATCATTCTCTCTAGCTTTTTACATTTGAGATATTATTGAGACAGACATTTGTGCAGATTTAGCTTCTGGTCACTCCTCCGAGCACACTCTCCTCTTTCTCTCCCCACCTCTCTGTGAAGCAGTACTGTAACATGTGAGCACAACCGAGACAGTGTACACTGACTTACCCCTCTGTCTCACTGCTACTCATGCATGGGTCATGGGTTATTCAAGGATTGGGATTTTTTTCTTATGAAACTTTTGTTTTTCTAGTACTTGTTTTATTATTCTACTTGCTTAACATTCCATGGTTTCATCCTTAAATTCTTATAACAAACATAATCTATTAAACCCTCATCTCCCCCTCTGATCCCCTGGATGGACTGTCCCCTCCCGACTGGAGCCACTGGCCTTCTGGTCTCTCCTCCTGGATATCAGGCTGGGCTGGTCAGCCTCTGTCCCCTGGACCCTGCCACTCACTCCTGGTTTGCCTTCCTCTAGTGGATTAGATCTGACAGTACATGTAAGAAAAGAAGTTAGCCGTTGTCTTTTCTTCCGCCTTTGTCCTTCACTGGGCTGTGAAAGTTCTGGGATGGAAAGTGTCCAGGTGTTTGGGGTCCAGTGCCAAGACTCTGGGTGTTGCATTAATTCATGGTCCCGTGTCATTGACTCTTTTCTCTCCCTCACTAGAAGCTTTAGAAAAGGATTTTCCTTTGCTCTGGTACATGGAACTTAAGATCATAGGCCTTTTATTTATGTCACATGTATGTGGTATCTGTGTGTGTCCACCTTGGCTGCGGGACCCGCTGTGCCTCTGTCCTCCACAGGGTCCTCTGTGCACAGCTGTGACTGCCCTCTCTGGGCTGGGACTCATCCACTACTCTGTCCCCGGATCGTTTGGCTCACCTTCTCTTGTTGACTTTTATTTTAATTATTTTAAAATGTCATAAACTTTGTCTTCTATTAGAATCTTAGTTGGGTTGTTAGGTTTTTAATCCCAGAAACTCTTATTTTTTCCTCAAATGTGACCTCTGGGGACTGGTGTCAGGACGATGTGTGTGTCCTCTCTCCTACCCAGCTTCTGGTGGTGGTGAGGTGATTTTGTTAGTTTTTCTCCTGCTGATTGCCTGGGTTTCTTCTGTCTCGCTGCTCGCCCTTTGGCCTCTCCTCTCAAAGCCCTGGCCCGGGCACTGCTCTTGACTACCCAGATGGTCAGGGTGAGACGCCAGTGCAGGTGAGGACAGGCACCAGTGGCTAAGTCTGCAGGGTTTCCTGAGCCCATTGTGGTACACGGCCACTTACAAAACTTTCTTTTAGGAAAATAGGTGGGTCTTTTCTGACATTTTGGTTTGTATTAGTCTACATTTGCAGCGCAGTGGTCACATCCCTGGTGGGCAGTTGGTGCCTGGACACAACACACCTCAGTGTTTATGTCCCCTTCCAGTTCCTCCCTCCCTCAGTCCCCTTCCCTTTTGCCAAGATCCGGCCCCTGTTTCCCACTGTCTTTTATTTCGCTCACACTTACCTGAGAGACAAGGTCCCGGATGATCGGACCTGTAGCTCTAGTGTGTTTATTACACTTCGCTCTTCTCCGCCCCTGAGTCCTGTCGTGGGTGACCGCACTTCGTCTCTGGCTCCAGGCCTCCAGCAGTGATGCTGGCCTGGCACCACGGCCACTTCGAAGGTAAGAAACGTGCAGAGCCCGCCTCCTTCCCCAGCTGACCCGGAAATGTGTTGAGGATCCTGCGGCCGGACCCTGCGTGTTGGAACAGGTGCTTCCGGTCCATAGAGGTGCCTCCGGCGTCCTCCTCCAGTGACGGTGGATTCTGGTCACCGCAGCCCACCCCAGCCAGGGCCCAGAGCACGCGGGGCGACAGTGGGCGAGTTCTGTGCACACACGGCTGCCTTCCCTCATCTAAGCCCAGCCTCCTGTGTGGAGCCTGGACAAAGATCCAGCTCCCTGCAAAAGCCCTTTCTGAATTCCACAAAATCCCGCTAGGAAAACATCTACAGCACAATTTTGAAACGACGGATTTCTGAAGAATGAGGCTGCTCCAAGTCAGCTTTATTTCTCAGTAGGAATGTTGGGCTTTAGCTCTTTTTGTTTCAGTAACTGCGGCTTTTGTATAGTACACGTTGGTTTTTTTTTTCTCCTTCCATTTGCAAATATTTATCATAGTAATTAACACCATACTCTGCAAAAATGTGTTTAATATTTGCCATAAAGGGAACGATAGCTATGAATGCCCTTTTCAATGTATTTTAAAGACTTCTGAATGCAGGCTTCTATAGTTAAGACACAAGACATATTTTAATTACATTTTGATTTTTCTAAAAAGTTAAAATAAAAATTAAATCATATACATATATCAATTATGACAAAACTAATATTTTCTAAGCTCAATATTTTAGTCTGGAAATTATGACATTGTGAATAGGAAAAAATATAAACAGCTAGAATAAGACAATCATGAAGAAATGAGATAATAGTCTTCAGATGAAACAATTAAATATGAATTATGACATAATTACAAACCCCCCGGTGGGTAAAGAAGAAAGCTACTGATGATATAATCGTGTTTTCTGCACTGCCTACTGCTGCTTAGGTTAAAAAATATCTTTATTTCATCACAAGTTTTCCATTTTGTTGTTCTGAAACTTTCTCAGAATGTTCTCTTAGATTGGGGATTTCTGTGCTTCAGTGAAGTCAAAAGTAATAGTGTTACAAAAAGTTTCATCAGAGTCCCAGTGGCTTTTCATAGCAGAATGTCACCTCCTTAATTGCCCTGCTTCTAAATTTGGAAACACAAAATACCTCCCTGGCAGTTAATTTTAAAACATCAACAGTTTAAACTTCAGAATCACTAGGAATTTATTTTCTAAGCCCTTAAGTATAAAAATGACTTCAAAGCTAAGAATTAGGTGATCAGCTGTGGTAATAATACAGTTATCTGGCTATGTGTCACTTCTGTGTGTGTGTGTGTGTGTGTGTGTGTGTGTGTGTGTTTCTTTTCTTTTTTCTTTTGCAGCACTGGGGATTAAATCTGGGCTAGACAAGAGCCACACCTTGGCCCCAAATGTTTGTATTTTTAGACACATTCATTCAGGAGTCTCTTGCATCATTGTTATCAAAGGAAAGCTCGGTTT